ATCATCAATCTCCATTCGACTACTGCGAATTCATCCTGGTTACTGTAAATTCTTTCTGATTGTCGTCAGTTCAGATTAAAATGAAATAATTAAAATTAGGTTTGAAAATTAGAAATTTTAATTTGGACATAAAAAACTTGAAAAATTAAGTTTGGAAATTAATATTTAAATGTCAATTCTATAAAGATCCCATTTTCTCACGACTTTAACAAAAACAACAACAATCAGTTCCATATTACTGTTACTGCAAGCATTAACATTAATTATAAATTCACATCGATTACTGGGGCTTTGCATTAATTACTATGAATTGATTTCGATTATTACAAATTCATTTTGATTACTGCCAATTTATCTTGTTTAAAGTGATTTCATTTTTAATACTGTAAATCCATTTTGGTTACTTCTGGAAATAACAAAATATCAAAATCAGCAGGTAAATTTGTCGCAGAACATTAGACAAGACGTCAGATTATTAAAGATTGTATGATAGTTTGTCATGTAGTTTACCACATATTATCACTTTGAGTCAAGAATATTAAAGTCATTTGAGAAATACTCATTGGTCCAATGATCCTTTTGAATATGGTCAGAAGCGTTTAGATGAATGAAAAAAAGTTCCATTCTGAACTGAAACGATGCAAAACAGGAGGTTGAACCAAACGATTATGTCATCGATTTAATAAATAATGTGACACAGAGAATTTTTAAATTGTCAGAAATGCTCGAATGAAAACTTTTTATTTCACATTGGTTGGGATTAAACGACCAAAGATTCAAGTTGGGATTGAACGACAAAACATTCAAATTGAAGTTGATTTCTTTTTAATTCTTGTGATCATTTTTCAGGTACTTTATTTTGCCCATGTAATGTAGTTATGAGTTGGATACATGATGGTAAAACATCATTGATGAGTATCTTCGATGAAAGATATTTTGCTTTTTAGCAATAACTCTCGATTGTTGTAGCTTAAGCTTTGCGAACGAAGCTTTGATACTTGCTACAAAAGCGCTAATGGCTCAGACGATCAATGCCGGAGAGAGAAGTTCGATTGCAAAAGGCAGAAGGGAAAGTCTTCTTAGACGGTATTTAACGCGGAATGATTTTTTTTTGCATTATCTTTTATCTTCCAAGCTAATTCTGTGTATGTCTGTGTGTTCTCAAAGTAAGCAACACCTGGATGATGTGTTATTCTTTCTCCAGATTGGAAGGTTAGAATAGGATATTGTTGGTAATTTTTATGGCCAAGGCTTGGGTACGTTGGCTCTTTTTTTGCAGAAGCCTGTGATGAGTTCGCCATAGAACTTAGGAAAGTGGTTATCTTCCATCTTGGAGACGTGTCCAGCTTAGTAGAATTGCATCCTCAATAGCATTACTTCAATACTAGCTGATACCTACCTGTTCGAGAACATTAATATTGGTCACATAGATCAGTACATATTTAGGATTGCATGGAGACAGCGCTGGTGGAAACGTTCGAGAAATCCGGATAGTGACGGTAAATGACTAATGATTCAAATTGGTGCAAAAGATAGGCAGTATAATAGTTTTATATACATTAATCTTTGTACTCCTTTGCTGATGTTTCCCGGAAGTTCTATCTGTCTTTGCTAAATTGTTATTAATCTCTTCCTTTCTCGATTTTAACATCAGATATCATGAATCCGTCTGGATAGTTGAACTATTGAACTAATTAAAGCTTTGATTCACTTGCGGTAATGTGAGAATGATGATAGTCCTGCTGTGATGCAGGTTGATATAGAAGTGTAACTTCGATCTTCTTCAAGATGATTGCCAGCAAAAAAATCTTTACAACTTCAACAAAGGAAGATGTTAAATGCTACACAGTTTCTTCTACGTGAACAACGATGGCGATTTTGTCGTGAAAAATTAGACGACGTCGGTGAAATATTTTTTACTTCGCATTCAACTGTAATCCACTTGCATGTGACATATGACATGAGATATGATCATATGAAAACAAATGCATAATGTATTGAGGTTAAAACAAATTTGGATAATTTGCATTCCTCTTATTATAACAATAATTATTTGAAACTTTTCCTTTTCTTTAAAGTAAAAATCTTATTTATTCCATTCTCATTATTTAACAAAATTATAATTTATTTAATCAATAACTACCTGCATGGATTAATTAAGGCATAAACTATATTCAATTTCATATTCCGATAATTTTTGGTTTTTTTTTCTTCTTTTTCTCTTAAGAAGGATAACGAAGAGAGAGAAAAAATGAAGGAGGGAGGGAGAGAGAGACGAAGAAAAGGAGGGAGAAAAACAAAATGATGGAATACAACATGTTATAGAATTATTGAAATGAATATAAATAGAAAATTTGAATGTAAAATTGCGAGAAATATTTGATTGCAGCTAATTAATTATATTAAATTGAGCTACCATTAGCACTGTATTTGAATTTAATTAATATACTTTGTGAGAATAAAAATATAGCTAATCGCTTATCAATCGATTACATTCAAAAGTAAATACAGCTAATTGCTTCTCAGTTAATTACTTGCAAAAGTAACATAAATGAAATTTTAAAGAAATCGGAAGTTCTTAGAAAGGAAAGAAGTTTGTAATTGCACAATATGAATGAATAATTTCTGTAAAATAAGTGGAAATTATTGCAATTCGTAGCAAAAAACATGGCTAATGCTGTGAAAATTGATATGATAAGCGGATATAGGTTCCGCTTAATTAAGGGATGTTAATTAAGCGGAAATTAAGGAATGTTCTAGCGGGAAAAAATTATTCGTCCAGGTATTTCAACCTTTTTATCCCTTTATAATTTGGTTTGGTAAGAGGTCATTATAGGTTAAGGAATTAAAAAAAAGCTTTTGTTTTAATAAAGCTAATAAAGCTAATTTTTAAAGCTGATAAAGCTAATAAGTGGAGTTTCGATTAGGTCTTTACCGCCACACATATTCGTCAGTTTTTTAGGGGATCACTTTTATCATAATTAATTTGGAATTATTTTGTTAATATTTGCTGAGATCATCATCTGTCACTAAAATCGCTTAAAAATTAAAGAATTTTTTGAAAATCCTCTTTAATTCAATATATTTTAAATGAAAATTTCCAGAAATGATAGCTGGTGCACAACATGATCAGTAATTTTTGACAGTAATCAATATCACAGATTAATAACGCACTGATCAAATATACCAAAAACCTTGTCAAATTTTTATCAAGATTTTTAAAAAACTTTCTTTAAACTAAAATATTAAATGAAAATTTTCAAGTGTGATCCTTCTACTGGATAATACGATCGATTTATAGTAGCAAATAAATATACTAGATTGATGACAAATTGAATTTCTTCTGAACAAATATTTGTTTAGGTATTTTGGATTAATGAAAATTTTTAAAAAAATCCTTAATTTTTAGGTAATATTAGTGAAATTTTGATATAGTTTTATCTATTATTGATTAGTGTGTTATCAATTTGGGATATTCATCGCTATCACAAATCACTTATCGTGTTATCCCACCAGCGATAACATCTGGAAAATTTTATTTAAATAATTTGGATTAATGAAAATTTTTAAAAAAATGCTTAATTTTTAGAAGCTTTCAATTAAAATTTAATAGGTTTTTTGCTATTTTTGATTAGCTTTTTATCAATTTGAGATGTTCATCGCTATTACAAATCACTGAACCGTTTTATGATTAAGTATGTGACAAACGTCATCTTTCGCTTCCTTTTTTTTCATTTCTAATCTATCTGCATGTTTAGCATTTTTCTGATATCAGAATTTGTTCATCTTTCCTACCTAAGCAGTCATTGTTCCAAAAAAAATTTTTTTTATCACAAAAATTTCAGGATTTGTGGTTTTCCATGTCACATGCTGAAAATTTGAAATTTATGAAATCGGTAGGAATTTGAGATTGGCCATTCAGAATGGCCTGAGATTTTACTCTTGTTAATTCCAACATATTAAAAAGTTTGAGATTGGCCATTCAGAATTTGAGTTTGGGATTGGCCAAGTAGTCTATTTTACAAATGAAAGGAAATATTTTCAAAAATTGGAATATCAAATAGTTTCATATTTTTTGCATTTGAAGGTAAT